ACTCAAAGAACACCAGACCCTGTTGTGTTTGTTATTGTTGTTGTTGCTGTTGTTTTGGTTTTTTGAGACAGGGTCTCACTATGTAGTTGAGATTGACCTGGAACTCACTATGTAGCCCAGGCTGGTCTCAAACTCACAGTGATCCTCCTGCCTCAGCCTCCCAAGTGCTGGGATTACAGGCGTGCACCACCACACCCCGCTCAATCTACCTTCTTTTTGCTTTTGTTTTTGTTTTGGTGGTGGTGGTGGTGGTGGTGGTGGTGGTGGTGTTGGTGGTGGTATTGGAGATTGAACCCAGACCACTGCATTAAGATGTATCCCTAGTCTGTTTTTATTTTTTACTTTAAAACAAAGTCTGGGTTGGGGATTTAGCTCAGTGGCTGCCACCTGCCTTGCAAGCACAAGGACCCACGTTCGATCCCCGCTACCAAAAAAAAAAAAAAAAAAAAAAAAAAAAACCAGGCTCACTTCCAATTTGTAATCCTCCTGCCTCGGTCCCTAGAGGTATCTCTGCTAGGGTTACAGCAGGGTTCAGGCTGGGCTTCTTTAAGGGCACTTTCTTCCAAGCCCTACATGGAGGTTTTTGTGGGATCCCCAGCTGGATCCGGTGCCCCTCCGCTCCCTCCAAGAAGCCCTACTCCCTATCTAGTTTTCTACTGAGTTTGCCCGGGAGCCACCCGTGACTATCAGTGGACGCGAGAGAAGAAAAGCGGGGGGAAAGGAAGGAAGAATAAGAGAAGGTGAAAACAGTGGAAGAAGGAACAGGGAGCCAGGGAAGGAGAAAGACCGATTCCGTTCAGAACAGTGAGAAACAACCGTAGCCCTCGGCTTGGGTCGCCCGTTGTTGTGACGCTGCTGTGCCTCCTGAGCGGAGCCTCTGCAAGGTGGCTGCTTCGCCTGAGTCCATTGGTGATGACGCTGTAGCCGTGGTCCTGGTTCAGCTGGAAGGTGGCTCTGGTCAGGTAATATGTCCAACTGGTTCCATTTCCTTTCTGAACTGAGTTCACGGCCATGCCTATGGTGAACCAGTTTCCCTGAAACTGCAAGGAGCTGCTGACAGGCAGAGCCCAGAGGGGCTAGGAAGACACATTGTCTCTGCGGGTACCTCTGGACAGGTACCCTGGCTGCAGGGCCCAGGGATGGGTCTGGGCTGAAAACTCAGCAGGAGCTTGATCTCTCTGGGACCAAGAAAGACCCAGGGTGAGGAGCTAGACCTAAATTTGCAGAGGTGATGTGGCCTTCAGCAAGTGGCTCAGAGGCCATCCAGTGACTCAGTTTTCCCAGCTGTGGGGAGGGGACGTGAAAATATCCCAACTGGCATGCAATGAGTCTGAACCCCAAGAACACTGTTTCTCCCAAGCAACATTGTCACTGGAGCCCTTTGTCTGTGTTTCTCTCCATTCCCACTGCCCCTGTGCTCTGGGTCCTCCCCCAGCCACATACAGAGCCTTTACCTGGTCATCCTGGAAGTCTGGCTGCAGGGGGATCTTGCTCAAAGGTGGTGCTTGGATCAGGGTTGAAGGAATGTCCTGGGCTTGGGTCCGCAGGGCCCCTAGAAGAGTAAGGCCCAGACACAGGAGGCCCAGGGCCATGGTTTCAGGACAGCTGCTGCCCTGGCAGGTACTGGAGGAGAAAAACCATGGCTTCAGTGTTCAACCCAGGAACTATTTATGTGTCAGATGTTGTCACCCTCCCTGGGGTGCTGACCCCTCCTTTGCTAAATCCAGGAAAAGTGAGCCATCAGAAACACTCAGTCAGGTATCTGCTCTTTGCACACTGTGGTCAGTATTGTGAAAGTCTGAGAGCAGGGAAGGCAACAGGAGACAGAGGAAGCTTGCCAGATTTTCACAGTCTGGGGGGACAGCAGCTCCCCTTGTGCTCACTGGGCCCCTTTCCTGTATCTCCATGGCCCTGTCTGCGGGCCACAGTTGGATCTAGACAAGCTGTCATCTCTGAGGCTGTGATCCCAGGGTTGGGGGTGTGGCAAAGCATCCTCCATGTACTGGCAGAAAAAATAGAATGCCCCAGGTATGGCGGCGCATGCCTGTCATTTTACCTGAGGCAGGAGGAGAACTTGTATTAAATGAAGAATTCTGGTGGTGGCAGGGTTCTTACAATCTTCCTAGGGCTGACCTTTAAGTGTCAGTTTAATGTCCATTAAATTACCTACATCTGGAAATAAACTGAAAAGTGTTATGATAAAGATGTATGCACAGATCTGTGTGTGTGTGTGTTGTGTGTGTGTGTGTGTGTGTGTGTGTGTGTGTTAGTTGATGTTGACAGAAATGGGGATTTGGGTTCTTTATCTTTTCTCTGAAAATATGGGCTTTAAAAATTCATATAAACAGACCTGCAATTCTCACCATTGAGATAGATGATGAGATTCTTAGAAAGTGTAGTATACTGCTCTCTCTTGACATTTACAGATAGCAGGTCCAGTGATAATTCTTTTACTGTTTTGTTTTGGTTTGGTTTAGTTTCTTCTGACACAGGGTCTTCCTATGTAGTTCAGACTGACCTTAAACTCACTAAATGATCTTCCTGCCTCTCCTCCCAAGTCTGTCTCTTCTAAGAAGTGACTTAACTTTGGAACATAGGCATGCCTACGTGTTTCATTTTCCCATTGTGTGGGGTCTGTTTAGTATCTGTGTTCTAAGTACCATCAAGCTCATGGACTTCTGGAGTTAGGTCTTCTCTGTGCTCAGGGGAACATAGGTACACAGTGAGAGAAGACTTGAGTGTCCCTTCCAAATGTCTGTCTGGCATTGTCCTCTCCCCCAGGCCATGGTAATGTGGTGCCGGCAGGAGTGACTCCCTCAGAGCACCCCCTGTCCAGCTAGCTGGGACACCCATTGCTGGTGAGGCTCATGGAAACCATAGCTGTGTCCTTTACCTCACCTGTGTATTGTCCCCTTCATAATAAAAACCATACATTTAACCACACAGCACATTATGGCTAATTTGTCATTAATCTACTAAACTTCAGTGATGTTTTAATTTTTGATGTGGGATTTGAAATTTTGTTTTTACTGTTTTAGACTACTGGATATTCAAAATTTAAAGGGAAAAAATAAGCTTAAAAGGCAATTGAATGGAGTATGATAAAAATGTGAATATTTTGCTGCCTCCATGACCTTAGATAGAGACCTGGCAGACATTTAGAACCAGAGTAAAAGTTGGAATCTTGCACATTGCTTCAATGAAGAGATTCTAACATTGTGAATTGAGAATGTCTTCAGATTATTTTTATTTAGAAAACATAAAAAACTGAAAGTTGTACAAACATTTGATTTTTGGCTGTAAAGCCACAAAACTAATATTTTTCTTTCTTTTCTTTTTTTTCTCTGAATTCATATGCTTTCTCATTTCAGAGAGGTTATGGAGAAAAGCAAGGCTCTCAAGATGCCACGGCCGTAGGACACACTTCCTGGGAGATTGACTCACTTAATCATTGTGGGCTGGATTCTTTACTTCAGTTCCTGCCTCGGTGCTAGGTTCCCAGACACTATTTCCTTCTTGAGTGTCTGTTCTGGTTTTGGAATTTTCTGCCTTTTGCCCTGTTATTTCTGACCCAGAGATTCTTACATCTTTATCTCATACTCTACTCCTGTAGTCTGAGACAAATTGAGCTCCAGCTCATCACACAGGTCTAGCTGAATTTCAGAATGTAGAACCCTGGGCTTGCAGCAAGAGGAGTAAAGATTTACTGGAGTGGGGATGGGAGGTAAATACGGGAAATTTCTTCTGAAATACTCTCATCGTTGTTTTTGGTATTGGGGGATTTTTTGTTTTGTTTTGTTTTGTTTTTCTTGAGACAGGGTCTCATTATGTAGTCCAGGCTGGCCTTGAACTACCCTGACTGGCCTCAAGCTCACAGCAATCCTCCTGCCTTAGCTTCCTGGGTGCTGGGATTACAGTCATGTAGCACATGCCTAGTTTCAACACTGTTTATAAATACACTTCTTTTGCCACTCTAAAGATAAATGATGTTACCTTTGTAGGGTAGCTATATAATGAAGCGCCAACTTTCATCTCTTTACAAAGAAAGCAGAGTTTTTGTCTAATCGCCGCCTCAGAAATGTTTTTAGAAGGACATGTCCTGTGCCTTTCTTTTGTATCATCTCCTGACACTTGACCACCTGGGTTGTATGTTCTTCTGGGCTCTTTACCTATTTACCTTAGCACCATCGCTGCAGGTCACATGGAGGACAGTGGGAGAGCTGCCACCCAGGACACCTGCACAGCTCCTCCTCCAAGCCCCTCCACCACCTGGGGTTTTCAGTCCTGTCACCATGGTCTTCAAGGTTCACACCTACATTGGTTCATTTTCATCAAACCCCTGAGGTGGGTCTCCCTATTAATGAAGAGGTGTGAGAAATGGATACATATTGAAGATATACTCCTAAGTGAAATAAATGAGTCACACATGTGTAAATACCGAATAGTTTCTCCGGTGTGAATAAACTGTAGTAATACATAAGATCCTAATGAGATTACTAACATTGTGAAATGGGAAGAAAAGGGCTAAAGGTGTAGGGAAGGTGGGATGGGTAGGGGAAGGGTAATAAGGGAAAAGAAAAAAATGTGAGATAATGAAAAGATGGAAATAAAGTGTTTGTAAATGGGGAGGGGAGGAGGGGGTGAGGGGAGGGCTGGGACAAGGGGAAAAATGAGAACCAAGACCTGTCATGTAGAGGTACAAGATCCCAACAATGAATGTAACTGTACTGTATCCCTAAAAGGTACCAGTAAAGTCAATTAAAGCTGAAAAAAAATGAAGAGGTGTGAGGATACAGGTTTGGCTTTATGTGTTTCTGAGAAAAATAAATGTTTAAGAGTTCTTATTATGTAACTCATGTTAGCTTTGCATAATGTGTGGCATTTACTTAAGAGGGAATCTTCATGATTTGCTTTAGATTACTGTTTAAATAATAGGTATAGCCCCCTTCCCCATGGCCCAGAAAAGGAGTTCACACTTGGAGGTCTGTGGTGTGCTTTTATTTAGCACATAAGAGAACTCCACACGCAGGTGGCTTTTGCAGTGCCTGGGTGGCCAGCACGCACTAAAAGAAGGGTCTTCTGGCTCTCTCACTGGCAGGACAGCGGGTGGGCATCCAGATGGCACCTTGCGCAGAAATGACTGAGAAAACAGGGATATGGTGCGGGAGGCACCTGAGAGGGAACAACAGCACATACGTGACTGGGGTTCAGGGTTGGGGAAGGAGAAGAACAAAGGCAGCCCCGAGACCCCCAGCCCACCTCAGTGTGGCCTCCCATCAGCCCCCTGCCCCGCCATACTCACTGCCTGTTCATGCATCAGATACATTCCTCTGTGGGGAGAGAGAACATCAGAGTGGTCAGGGGTGTGTGTATGTGTGTGTGTGTGTGTGTGTGTGTGTGTGTGTGTGTGTGTGTGTGATCTCTGCCTTCCAGGGCCACAGCATTGCCCTTGAAGGACTCAGGCCCACCCTTCCCTGTCGGCTTGGGCACCAAAGCTTCAGGCCTATTTCCCTGCTGAGCTTGGCTGCTCCTTAACCAGGGCAGTGATTGGCCTGGGTGGGTGGAGTTCTCTGCCCAAGCCAGGCCACTGGAAATTAACACATCTCCTGTGTCAGAATAAGCAAGCCCCAGAGGAAGGGGGAGATGGCTGAGTGCAGCACGTCCAGAGGTAGGGAAGAGGTGGCCCAAGACAATAAGACCCAAGGTATGCAGTAGAGATGACCCAGGCCACTGAAACTGGAAAAACTTCGAACTGGGCCTGAAATTGTCACTGTGTAGACCTTGCCTAAACTGTCACAGGAGAACTTGGGACCAGGGGTTCTAGGGACTCACAGACACCTGGCTGGGAGGCCACTCTCTCCAGTGACTGGACTATGGGACTGAGTCTCTCTTCTCCCCTTTCCCTGGTGTGTAGCACATCAGCTTGGGCAGACCCCACATCCTCTTCCCCTAACCCACCCCAAGCTGGTCATTACCGATAGGCTCAAAGAAGATGATGTTGTCATCAGTGAGGCCCAGAGACTTGGAAAATTCCGAGAAGCGCTGCTTCAGTTCAGAGTTCAGCTTCTTGGTTCTCCCTGTGTGCAGCAGAGCCAGTGAGAAACAAGAGAAAGGCACTCTACTTTTTTTTTTTTTTTACATTTTTTTTTTTGAGACAAGGCCTTATTATGTACTAGTGCATGGCTTTAAATTCACAGTCAGCTTCCTGAGTGCTCAGATGACAGTTTTGGTCCACTGTCCCAGCTCATTCCATAAATACTGTCAAATGAGTAAATGAGGTCCAAACTCCTTTCCCACAGGCAGACCTCAGCCCTGAGAGACACTCGAAGTGGAGAACTGTTAAGATCTTGGCAATAAGGACTTTCTCAGTTGTGACCAGAGCCCAGCTCCTTGAGGAATGGAATGGGGACCTACCATTGAGTTTGGTCTGGAAATACACTATGTTTTCGAACTTTATCACGGCATACATCATTGCAAACTGATTGTAGTCGGTGGCTGTCACTCTCACGGTATAGATGTCTAATCCGTCGGAAACTGCAGTGTAAATGGCAATGGTCATCCCTTCACGTCCAGAAGGAAGTGATTGGCCCCTTCTTTTCAGACCGGTCAGCAGGGGTTTCTCCCTCAGAGAATAGCAACTCTGGTGTGGAGGGGCAATGAGGTCTGTGCCCTTCCAGGAGGACGCTACCTCCCCACCCTGAATCCCAAACCCAGGACCCCTCCCTGAAGACTCACGTGTCTTATTGTCCAGGGAGAACTGGCCGGGCTCAACATACGGGACAAGTGTTTGGTTCCACTGCACACATTCATCATCCCTGTTAGAAGGGAAGACAGTGGTCTTGTGAGCAGGGAGATGACATAGATGGGGCACCTTGGAATGGACAAAATGGGTCCAGGACCGCTCTGCAGAGGCTCCCACCCAGCTATGAAGCCTGTCTACCACCATGGCAGGGGCTTCGTTCAGCTGACCCTGGGACTTCCCTCTCAAACCTCTGCTTGGTCTGCTCAGTGGCCACTCAATTCTCCCTCCAGCACTCACTGTGACCTCCACATCCTCTCCAGGGCAGCCTGTCCCACACACAGACCCCAGGCACTCAGCCCTGCTCTTACCTTGCTGCTCCCCTTTCCCCATCTCTCCTGGAAATTTCCTCTGAGCTTTGACTCTGCTTCACGTTAAGCATTTCCCTTGCCCTTGGGCCCGACCCGACCTCTCCTCTGGGTCCCTCCCATCTATCTCAGAGCCAAGATGCCTGCACCTGCCTTCCATGTGCCCTGAGATCCTCAAATTCTCTAATTTCCACCCACCCAGTGACTCCTTCAAAAGCCAGGATCTGGACACAGCTGCTCCAGGAAAGCGATAAACAACATGAAGGTAAAGCTGGGCAGACCCGTGTGGGAGATCCCAGAGGTTGGGTGGCTGAGGACTTGGAAGGAGGAGCCTGGACTCATCTACTTGCAGTGCATTCTTATTTTGCCCCAGAGACTGATGGGAGAGACCCCCTCCTGGCAGCACAGCACCCCTTGCTTGAGTGGCCACACTGATGGCTGGCTACTTTGCTGTCTCCTAAGGTGAGACTCTCTGATTCAGGGTCCACCAGCCCCCACTGTGTTCCCTCACATCTCCTTTTGGGGTGTGTGGCAGTGGGGACTGAAGCCAGCACCACTGCACTAGGCTGCATCCATGGTTTATTCCTCCCTTTGAGGCAGGGACTCACTAACTTGCCTAGGTTCTCTTCCAACTTGTGATCTTCCTGCCTCAGCCCCTGGAGCTGAGTCGGCTGGGATTACAGCACCCTTGGCAGTTTGGGTCCCTTAAATTCGCTTTTTTACAAGATCTAAATGGAGGACTTCATGAGGTCCCAGGCTGGATCCAATGACCACCGCTCTCCCTATGAGAAGCCCGACTCTCTGTCTTGAGTTCTACTGACGATGTCTACTTTGGAGCCACCTTTGACTGTTGATGGAAGGGAGGGAAAGGAGACAGGGAAGAAGGCAAGGAAGGGGAAATGGAAAGAGAGAATGGGGAACAGAGGAGCAAAAAAAAAGGAGGAAGATAGATGAGTTCATAGTAAGAGGTAAATGGCAGTAGCCCTTGGTTTGGTCACTCATTCCTGTGACTTTGTTCTGTCTCTCAGACCCCCAGGAGGTGGCTGCATCACCTGAATATGCTGGTGGTGACATTGTAGCTGTTGTCATCTTTAAGCTGGAAGGTGTCGCTGTACATGAAATATCCATAACTGCTTCTGCTTCCTTTCCAAATGGAGTTCCCAGCAATGCCTATGCCAAACCACTTCCCCTGGAACTATAAGACATTCATGACAAGAAGGGGCTGGAGTCGGCCCCAGTGCCACCCCTCCCGTGCAGTCTGTCCCTCCTAGTACTTCTAAGTAGCTCTTTGGGCAGCAAGGTGTGGGAGTGGGACGTCCTGGGAAGCTGGCAGGAGCTGATGTCCTCCAGGGCAACGAGGGACCCTCAGTTAGTTGTGAGTTGTCAGGGATGGCGAATCCCTGGGCAAGTCACTGGTGGGCCTTCCTAAGCCTCAGTTTTCTTATCTCTGCAGGTAGTAAAACATACATGCCTGGGGTCTAGTCACCCTGAGTCTTCCTCCTTCCACACAAAACTACCCCTGAGTCACTTTCATTCTCCTCCCCTTCCTGCCCATTATCCGTGTCCCACAGAACTTCCCCACAGCTGTAATTCCAGAGCCCTTACCTGGTCATCCTGGAAGTCTGGCTGCAGAGGAATCTTGCTCAGAGGTGGCTCAGAAGTCAAAGTCGGAGGAATGTACTTGGCTTGAATCTGTAGGGTCCCAAGCAAAGTGAGGCCCAGACACAGCAAACACAGGGCCATGGCTTCAGAGCAGCTGCTGCGCTGTCAAGAATTGGAGGAGGAAAGAGAAGTCTTCAGTGTCCCACCCAGGGGAACTATTTATAGCCCACCTGTGGTTACCTCCCCCAAGAGTGGGCTGATCCATCTTTTGATAAAGCCAGGAAAGGTGAGTCAATTTCCAGCAGCTCCTTCACAAACACGTGACCAGATGCTTGCTCTTTTTCACCCCTGGTCAGGATTGTGCATGTTTGACAGCAGGAAAGCAACAGGATACAGCGGGACATTCTCTGAGATCTGCACACTCTGGCAAGGACAAGCACTCCCCCTGTCCTTCCCTTTATCAGAATGGCTCATCTGTGTTTGGACAAGTTGCCATCTCTGATTCTGTAAGCTCAGGGTAGAGGTATGTGTGGCCAAGCGCACTCTCTGTACTGGCAGAAAGCACATAATGCAACAGGCTTGGGAGTGTGTGCCTACAACCCCAGCCTCAATTGCACAGAAAGAATGTGTGCAAACAACAAATGAAAGAGAAAAAGAGGGGAGACAAGTGCAGGAGGGAGGAGGAAAGGGAGGGAGGGAGAGAGGAAGGAAGAAAGAAAAGTAGAAGAAAGAAAATGCTCCCATAGAATCTCTGTAGCTTCTTTTAAATGTCAAGGAAATTCAGGGGGCCAACAATGGAAATGCTGGACAGGGAAGGGCACTGGGTCTACTTTCAGAACTCTGAGCCCAGATCCTGGCCCTCCTGGTGGACGTAGGCCGGGCCCTGGAGCAGGGCGAACACTTTGAGGCTTATTCCTCAGCCACATCTTGTGCACGCTTGCAGGAGCGGACAAGTAAACATGGGAACCCTGGGGCCATGATCCTCCCCTGTGAATCGAGAAGGCTGAGACCCAGAGCCAGGTACAGGAGCCATGGATGTGGCCATTTCACAGAGCTGAGTGCTGAGGCTGTAGTCACAGCTCGGCTCAGGGCCCTGGCAATGTAATCACACGCCCATGCAGTCACCCCTTGGGGCAAGGCTGGCTGCGCTCTGCTGCTAGGCACACCACTTGCTTTGGTCAGGGCTGCCATCATTTGGCCTGGTCCTCAAGAGATCATACAGACTAACCTTGTCTTTGGCCACCTCCTTGGGAAGTGGAGCCCAGTGGCTCAATCTGGGGACTCAGGACTGACCCTGAGATGGATGACCCCAGTCTTATCCCTGAGGGAGGCTACTTCCTCATTAAGGACCTGGCCAGCATCCTGGGAGAGGCAGTGATAGACAGCAGACTCTGTGCAGTGCTCTCCTTAGGTGGCTCAGCCGTGACTGTAGTGACTGTCCTGGAAGCCAGTCCTAAAGCTGGGCTGAGGATGTGCTGGTTTTATATGGGACTAAAGGGGCCCTCACTGGCTATGCCCATCCGTGCCCAGACCCCAGCCTGGGCTCTGAGGTGGTCGGCCCTAAGGCAGGGAGGGACTTTAGAGGGTGTTCTGAGCTGGTGGGTAGGGTGCACTCTTAGACCTCACTGCAGACAGCCCTGCACCACACCCCACTCACCTGGGCTGAATGATGAAAAGGCAGAGAGGGAAGCTGAGCAGAGCTGTAGTGACAGAGTCTGCCACCCTCCCAGCCCCCCTGCCTCTCCTCTCCCTGGCCAAGGGGCTGAAGGAACTCTACTCTCTATGTCATTAATAGTTTCCTGAGTGGTGTGGTGGTGGTGGGTTTTTGTAATCTCAGCATTTGGGGAGGCTGATGCAGGAGGACTGCAAGTTGAAGCTAAGTCTGGACAACTTAGGGAGATCATGCAACAAAATAAAATTAATAAAAAAGCCGATGCTATGGTTCAATGCAATACTCACTATTGAAGGAAAAAATAAACAAAAAGAAGGGATAGGAAGTCAAAGACAGCCTTGCATGGGACCAGCTCAGATCTCGCGTGCAGTCTGTGGGTGGCCTCCCAAATCAGCAGAGCAGCTCTTTCCTCACTTTGGGAGGTGAGCAGAGGAGGCGAAGGTAGGGAAGAGATCTCTGCAGGGCCCATTCTCCCTGCACGGACACACACACACACACACACACACACACACATTGGTGTCACACTAGCTCTCTGTGCTCTTCTCTTTCTTTCTTTGTTTTTCTTCTTTTTTTGCGGGGGCTGGTAGGGAACGAACTCAGGTCCTTGCACCTGGGAGGCAGGCAGTGGAAGCACTGAGCTAAATCCCCGGCCCTTCTCTTTCTTAATCGGTCCTTTTCTCAAGCCTCTTGATACCTCATTACAGTTCTCCATTTGCCTGCCTCCAGGTACAGGTCAGGGCTTAGCAGAGGAATTCATTACTGCAAGATATACAAATACATAAGAAATAAGAAGGTCGGCTTACAATGGCCTCCTGCAGAGCCGGGTGTGGAAGAGTGCAGAAGGGCTTTCGGTGCACTGGAGAGCCAAGGGGTCCGTCAGAGGCCTGGAGCTCACTGTAGTGTCCCGTGGGGTCTGTATCAGGAGCCAAGGGATCTGCAAGGGAAGACAGAAAGGCCTGTCCTGGAAGCCGGGATACGACGTCCAAGGGGAAGGCGAAGACCGGACCTTTTATTCTGCTCAAGCAAAAAGCCTATTGGTGCCACTCACCCAGGATGAGCTTTGGTATCTTCAATGAATCCCTTCAGCCACACCCAGAACTATTCTGATCCAATCTAGTTGGGCATTTCATAATCAAGCGATGCAATCAGTTAGCTATCACAACCCATCTCTTGACAACTTGACAGACAGATACTTTTCCTTACACCATAGTCTCCAGATATACATACAAGTTCGTGATGTTACCTAACATGTTACATCTATCCTGCGTGCGAATGGAAACACACTGATTTCCACCCCAGAATAGGAGACATAGTCTCCATATACATACAAGTTCGTGATGTTACCTAACATGTTACATCTATCCTGCGTGCGAATGGAAACACACTGATTTCCACCCTAGAATAGGAGGCAAGTTTTTCTTGGGGGTGTGTGATGCTTACTCTTAACACTTTATAACTTAAAGATTATGACATAGGTTTAACAATGATTCAGAGCCAATATTAAGTTTATCAACAATATATTACCTAGGAAGCATATTAGGAGAGAACTGTTGCAGTTACAGTCCTTGTTTCTGTCGGTGATCACAGGGTTATAGCTAGTATTTAGAACTACCTTCTGCTATCCACTCTCTAAGCCTCCACCAAGCACCTCACCGGATCTTGGTTGTTCCTCTGATGAGCTGACCCACACTTTCATTCTTGAAGGTTCTGAACCATTTGTCATCCTGCCTGAACTGGGTTGATGTAGCTTCTCATGGATCTTAGAAATGGCATGATAATAAACGCTAGAAGGCACCCTAAGGGATGTTCTTACTCCAAGTATATCCTTCCTTTCCTCCCTTGCCTAGTGACTGTCCAATCTCTCCTTAATAGTCTGGGTCAGTCACTCCTGCCAACACTGTAACTTGTTTTTGGCTGTTTCCTCAGAGGCACGAGACGACAAATGTGACCAGGGAAAAGTATTAGCTTTCAGTTCAATGGTATTGTTGCATTTCCTGGTACAAACCCTCTCCGGTTGGAGCAAAGATTTCCAAGCCAGAAGAGCAAAGGGTTAAGGGGACGGGAAGAAAAGATATTGCTAGTGGATCACTAGGCTTAATGGAGAGTGGCATCATCACAACCTCCACCTCCTTGATTCCTGGACTTGTGAATCCTGGCTGTGGGGGACAAAGTACCATCATATAGTGGATGCTGGTTCAAAACATATACAAACTTTTGAAAAACCTTGTCCCAGCCCTGCAGGCTATTGCCACCTAGCTGGCACTGGAACTGT